TCTCTCTGTCTGTCTGTCTGTCTGTCTGTCTCTCTCCTTCTCTCTCTCTTTCTCTCTCTCCCCCCCCCTCTCTCTCTCTCTCCTCCCCCCTCCCAAACTAGGGCAGTGCTACTGACTGAAGTATCTTTAGGCCACACCCAAAGAGGGGACATTAATCATGTTCTTATGGACGGTAGAATTGGTCGCTTTTAAGGACAAGCGGGCTAACCCAGATTTCGGGGATTTCCAGAAACCTTGACCTACATAAAAAATGAACATTGCCCTACCTATAGGAGAAGTTTGGTTTCAATGGTGTGTAGATTTGTTTGGTTATAGAGAAAACTCTCCTTGTCTTTTAAAGAAACTGAATAAGGGGCAAAAACTTTACCTTTGATTCTCTCAAAACAGCATTTTTCTGGATAGCCGCCCTTGTGCTAAAAAGCGACCAACTGTGCCTGAACTGCAACAAGGAACTGCTGCTTTTTCTTTCCCAATCCTTGCTATCTGTTTTGGGTCCGAATCTACATTCCCTCAACCTTTTTAGTTTTAATTAGAGTTTTACGGCACTTACAACACATTGAGGTCATATTTTATTATAAGTGCTGACTATCAGAGGTGTTACAAGAGAGAAACAACATTCAAAAACATAGAAATGAAAGACGATAGAAGATGTTTAGAAGGACGATAGAAGTTTAGAAGGACGATAGATGTTTGCTAGGACGATAGATTTTTAGAAGGACGATAGATGTTTAGAAGGACGATAGATATTTGATAGGACGATAGATGTTTAGAAGGACGACAGATGTTTAAAAGGACGATAGATTTTCGATGGGACGATAGATGGACTTTTAAAAGGACGATATATTTTTGATAGGACGATAGATGTTTGACTGGACGATAGATATTTAGAAGGACAATACATGTTTTGAAGGACGACAGATATTTAAAAGGATGATAGATTTTGTTTTATAGAAAGACGAAATATGTTTCGGAGGATGATAGAAGTTTGACGGAAAAAAGGAACAAAAGACACCAGAGCACCCGCCATCCACCCACCCACCAATATCTCTCATCTAATAAGTGTTTTGGTCTTCCTCTTTTGCGTTTTCCTTCAGACGGTTCCTGAAAAAACTCCGGAAGCGTCTGCGTCGGGAGCTGCGGGAATGCTGGGAGCTGGTGGCCCGGATAGAGGATGAGTTAGACAAGTAGGAGCAGCGTCCTCATACACGATGGTGAGTGTGTTACGTTATGAGGATGGATAGATAATGACAATAATAGTGATGATGATGATGATGATAATAATAGTTATTGTTATTATTATTATTATTATTATTATTATTATTATTATTAGTAGTAGTAGTAGTAGTAGTAGTAGTAGTAGTAGTAGTAGTAGTAGTACTACTATAACTACCATTAATATTATTGCCCTGGAGTAATCTTTATATGAAGAGGTCAGACAATAACAGCATTAATCAGACTGAAAACGATACTTTGAAGGGATGAGACCGTTGGCGTATGCTAAAAATCCGATATCTGCACATACATGTATTGACATTTGCAATCTGTCCGCACCCATGTAAAACATGGACCCTCATAGCAGAGCTGTTTAGAAGAAAATAGGCGCGAGTTAATGCTTTTTCCTGTTGTGTCACTGATCATGGAAGTAAAATGACCCCTCATCAAAATGAGGAAATCCGCTAGATCGTCCAACTTTACATTGGCCCCCGTGAAGATTATCTTACAACAGTTTGGAAAATAAGCCTGAGATGTATGGCCACAGTTATAGATCACGCCGCCATGCAAGATCTTTCGACAAGGACCAATGAAGGGGCGAATAAAAGGTGAAGACAAAAGCAACAATGGACAGACATCACTGAAGGGACAAGGAATCATTATACCCAACGTTCACAACCCCCCCCAAAAAAAAAAAGCGGAGCAGCCTTGTAATAGACCACAAAGGCAGTTCTCCAAAGATTTTACCAAGAGCAGAGAGCGAAAGAAAAGGGAGAAAGATCTGAGTTGACACATTCATTGCCACTGCCCTATCTGTTTCTACTTTCTTCCATGCCGGTGTACTTCAGTAACATTCCATGGCCCCTGCTCGTTGCAGAACGCAGCAGCCTACAGAAAAACTTGAAAAAGCGGAACTAACAAGTGAGGAAGGTGGTGGGAGGGTTTTCTTCTACCTGACCTTTTAACACTATTGCCTTTGGTCTCGCTATCGGATGGAAAGTTTAATGGAGTGTGATTTCCTGTCTTCTGGGACTTGCTTTGAAGTCAATTTCTTCACTGTTGTTAAGCAGGTTCTTTCATAGAGGAGGGGGAGGGGGCAAGGGCTAAACTGGGGGACGACTACTACAACAGATGTTATTAAAAATGATAAACCGAATAAACGAGCTTTTTGAAAGACTAAAATTACATGCTTTGTATCTTAGCCTCTGGTACCAGTGTACCCCGATGACTAAAATAAGATCAGTGTATGCAAGGCCCTGAAAGATCGATTCATGACTTCTGACGTCTGCTTTATTAGTATTGTTAGAGAACACCTTTTTGTAGCTCAAAAGGGAAGGGGAGCAAAGCGAAGGATTTCCCAACAAAGAAATAGTTCCTGCATTCCTTAGAAGTTATTTGCATTTATTATATCCGAGCATTTCAGCGCCCCCCCCCCC